ATAACAACTTAACTATGAATACTTTTAACTGGAATATTTGTATATAACAACTTAAATATGAATAGTTTTAACTGGAATTACTCCAGAAAATAAATACTTTTTGTTAATTACTTACACCATCCTCATTTCTAGATCAATTATATTGTATTAAATGCAATGTGAGTGATGGTTGTAGGAGTGCAAGGAAACAAATTAAGGATAAGTCGTTAAACTTTCAAACATGTAAAATCAAATCCACATGAAACTTCACAGTAACACTTATCTTAGGATTCTTAAGGTAAAAACACAGTCTTTACCATATCTACTTTAGTCCAACATAAGTTTCGAAACAGAGTATAAGGCTAAGATAAGCTAAGCATTTGTACTTGCCCTTCATCCGCAATTTTGACTAAAAGCAAAATCTTCGTAAGTTTAAAAAACCCCACTGTAAATATCTACTGTATAAAGTAAGGCATCAACTTTACTTTTCTTCCAAGCAATCTTAACGCCAATGATACCTTCATTCTATAATGACAAAAGCATAATTGTTGATACCGAGTGCTGTCTATAAATAGAGATTCAGGTTTCCTAAAATTAACAAATCAAGTCCCAATGGAAAACATCATCACCACTTTTCATCCTAAACACGTTATTGAAGAGTCTGTTCCATATCCCTACGAATATAAACCAATTATGTGCATTATTTGTGAAAAAAGCTATCTTTGGGGTTTTATTGTCGTATATGTGATTTCCATTTCCACAAAGAATGTGCGGCTAGTTTGATGGAGTGGAAGCTCACGAAACATCGTCCAGAGACACATGAGCATACACTCACCTTCATTCGCATGAAGAACTTTTTCACATGTGATGCTTGTGGGAAGGTCGACAAGGGCAAGATGAATATGTACGCATGTTTGTTATGCAATTTCTTTGTTCACAGAAATTGCATTTATTTACCAAAGGTGATAAAGCTCACCCGCCACTCGCACCGCTTGTTTCATACTTTTCAAGTTGCTGCAGCTTGGGACACGAAATGTGCAATTTGTAATAAGACATGTGTTTCTGGATGTGGAGGATATATATGTGTTGACAAGACATGCGATTATAAACTCCATTCATATTGTGCAACAGATACAAAGGTATGGGATGGTGTAGATGTCGAAAAAGAACCGGAAGAAACTAGTAACTCTGATGATGGTGGTCCGTTGGAGGAGGTAAATGGCAAGATAGTCCGTCATTTCAGTCATTACCATGACCTAATGAGACTCCGCGTCAAGGACGAGGAAGAGGAAGATGGACGGGTATGTCAAGCTTGCATACTTCCTATCGACTTTGATGGGTTTTTAGGTTGTAAAGAATGTGATTTTGCACTCCATGACATTTGTGCAAGTCTACCTCGGAAGATGGAACACGCGTTACACCGACATCCGTTAATCCTAGAGGTGGACATGATGAACAGCGAAGAAGGGTTCTTCAGATGTTCTAAATGTAAACGAGAATCTTGTGGTTTCATGTATCGGTGCTGCCATGAGGAATGTGAGTTTACAATGGATGCAAAGTGTGCTTCCCTTACTGATCCATTACGCAACAGAGCTCACCAACACCCTCTCACTCTAACAGTCAGTGGGGTAGAGTGTCACGAACCTGGATGCTACTTTCCCATGAGTTTCAAACAAGCAACTTTGCCAGTGTTGGTCAAATACAAGCACGACACTCATCCACTTGCTCTTTATATCTTACAACCATACAACTTCGTCAATAGGAATATTATGCTAATTGGTATATGTGAAATCTGCGAAGTAGAAATAAGGGAAGCTTATTACTTAGATTTCTACGGCTGCACGGACTGCAGCACCACTCTACATGTTGCGTGCGTAATAGGGAAATACCCATATTTGAAACCTGGCCATACGATCAAAGTGAATGGTTATGAGATTGAGATTGCATCCAACAGTTTTTCCCGGCCGATATGTAATGAATGTTTCGGTATTTGCCAAGGCAAACTGATTTTCAAGAACAATCGAGACGCCGTATCTTTCTGTTCTATCAATTGTATTAAGAATAATTGAGACGCCGTATCTTTCTGTTCTATCAATTGTATTATTCGCTGCTCATCGGAAAGTGATAGCGATTAAGAAAGTGAGAAAGAAGTCGATGGTAATCACAAAAGGTGCTAATTTATGTTCTCTTTTTCTTAACTAAGCCTTTCGTGAAAGACATGTTTTAGTTTCAAAGACGCTTTTATGTTTAGAGTGTGCTTGCGCTTTACATATTATTATTATAAAAATACTGTAAATATATATTTTTCACATTCTAATTTCTTGTATCGAAATTAACCAAACGAGTGCTAAAAAATCTCGAACATGGAAAATGAAAATTCCAAAACTGCCAAAACGGCAACACAAGCGAACAACATACTTCCAGTTCCACTCAACTGATAACAAAAAGTTTCCCACAGTTTCAGAGCGAAAATTACCTTCAGTTCATTCTCCTAATGAGCTCGTTGATAAAGTTTTCGCGATTTCCGGCATCTCCACCTTCCACGTAATGGTTCCTCTTCTTCTTCATCCCTCCCAATGGCGCCTTCAGCTGGAATGGCCACAAAAAGTTGTTGGCTTCCTTGAAATGTGGCCCAACCGTCATGATCTCGTGGATTAGATCCTCCACACAGATGATGCCATGCTTCCCTAGCCCCTGCAATCAACAGTACAGAACAATAATGTTGATATAGAGAAGGTGCAGATTCTAGATGACAAACATCAATTCAAACCTATTAGACCAATTGGATCCAACATTAATGATAAAGCATCAATTTTTTCAAAAAGCAGGAGTAAAGGCAACAACCAAACTAGCCCTCATCAAGGAAATAGGCTGATGGTATTCACCTGGTCTACGATGGAGTTGTCTGTCAAGGCAATCCTCTGATGGTTGAGCTTTCCAAAACCCCTTTTGTAAACCAATTCCTTCACACTTTTTAGGTTTGGGTATCTGAAGAAAACGAGAGTCGTCCATGAGTAAGACTACCAGGGTTTCACGGAGAAAAGGGAAGTTTTGAATTGTAAAGGAGAAGAGGGGTACCCGTAGGTGACATAGGGCTCAACACGGCGAAGCATGTTGATGGTCGCCTTGTTGACCTTCAAGAACACACCATTGAAAATCTGCAATAAAATTTACCAAAGTGTCAGATATGATCATTTCAGTCTGTTTCAAGCTGGATTTATATGAAACAAAACCCTCAGCGAAAGATTGTTACCTGTCTTAAACGCAAAAGCTGCAAAATCTTCTTTGTCTTTGGGTCAATGGCATTGATACTGATAAAAAATAGATAAAGACGAATGAGAATACGGTTTCTACAAGTAACACCATCCTTAAACTTGAGAGACAGAAGATCATGTTACCCCCGGATACGGATAATGAAAAGCAGTTTTGCTTCCGGATCAACGTAAAAACCTCCTTTCAGTTTTGCCTCACGCTTGAGCTGGATCAGTTCCTTTTCCTGAATAATTTAAGAAGCAGAAACTCTCAACGAAATCGCATTTCCCGCTTTAAAAAATTTGCAAATTAAACTTGTAGAACAATTACCTTCTCTTCGTATTCCTTGGAGTACTGCTTAGCCCGGTTAAATATGAGCTTCCTCTTCTCAGCATTCTGCTTTTTGGCGGCCTCAAGCTCCTGTTTCTTGGCAAGTGCCCATTCTTCCTCCCTCTTTCTCTTCTTCAACACTGACTCAGGAACAACAGTCCTGGCTTCTGCTCCAGTCATTTCTGTGAGCCAAATAACAAAACTGGATTACATTATCGTCTTAGTGGTATAACCAAGAGACTGGATTAAACTACACTTGTCCTGCAGCGGGAACTCAAAGCACAAAATCCGATACTATAGATCCCTACATGTATACAAATTCAATAAGTGAAATATTACATAATCAGGCACACTACATAGAATAGTTCAACTTGAATTGCGTTACATGAATGCTATTACAATGGTAACTCAAACATTTTCCCCAAAAATGATACAAAAGGTTTTTTAAGGCTCCAAAAATCAATACTTTCTATCAATTATTGCTAGCATCATCATCCTAATCTATAGTACTATACATATCAGCAAAGGCTTGAAACAAGCCTAAGAAAATGGTCTAGAAGACAAAGGAACCAAAAATTACATTCTATCACAGTGGTTATAAGAACAATGACTTCATTTTTACAAACTAATCCAATCCCTAGATCGCAAAACGCTGTTTTGAAAGTTCCATTAGGAATCCACAATCGAAAATTTTAGGCTATATATAGAGAACAGAACCACTGCCAAATTCGTAGCGATTGATTGGTTTCTGGAACCAGATTGAGACGAGGGAGAGATAGAAAGTGGACTAACCGGCGATCACGAAGAGGAGAGGAGGCGGGGACTGAGAGAGAGCCAAGGAAAAACCCGAATCTTCTTTTACTCTTGAGAAATCTGACCCGGCGGGTAATTAGGGCTTTCATTATGTTTTTTATTATTTCGCTTTTACCCCATTAGATTCAGTAGTTTTTCTAAACAAACC